GTTTGCTTAGTCTTTCACCTGTAAGAGGCTCAAACAGTACCTCTGTGAAGTACAACTACTGAAGAGCAGAGTTAATATCCTCCTTCCCCAGACATCCACCCTTGACATATAGTCCACCACAAAATATCAGTGAGCCAAACCCCATTTTCCCTAGCATGTCTCCTCAGAACTCTCCTTCAGAAGTGTTCTTGAATTTTTTGCTTATTCTCACCTGTAAACACTGAGAGAGATTTTGTCAGTTGTAAGGGAAGATGGCCACTAACTGAATACTGTGAAGCATGAATCTTCATTGCATACAATTTAGTATAGAATAGCCACCTATTCTGCTTTCAGATATGACAGAATCCCATTTCATTCTTGCTGTTTACTGCGTAACAGTATCATACTCCACTATAAAAACAGGAGGAAATCATTACTTCACATATGTATTTTAAATCCACTTAGAGAAAATAGCAAAACTTGGAACTTCCAAAGCTTTCAGCTATGGTCTCAGAGTACAGTGTTCATTCTTCTGATAATAGTTATGAGTGAAAATATATTTCTTATATTTACTAATATTATTCATGATTTAAAAATGAAGTGATTATGGTAGCATTCATGTTGGTTCTCAAAGAGCACACAGACTACTGAGTAGAATATACTTTTAAAATTTGCTAACAAGAGATTATAACTTTTGAAAATACATTCTGCTTCATAGATATTGTTTGCAGAGGTCTATATTACACATTCAAAAAATTCTTTCCTCTTTCTGCTTAATGATTCTGCTGAAAATTGTCTACCAAGCTGCCAAAAAGAGCACAGATTTCTGATTGAGCTCTGTTCACAGTGAATGAAGTAAGAGGTGACATGGACCAAAAGCAAAAGAGCCAAGGACATGGAAGAGCCAGAACATCAGTTTTGAAGTCAGAAGATTCTAATTCAAGACTCAGTTCTTCCTTCACTAATACCCTTGCCTCATGTAGACAATAGGAATAATAATCATGGTCGATTAAAATGTTCTAATGTCTGAGTCCTCTGAAGAATGTAAAATATCGCACAATACAATAATCCAGTAAATTTATTAGTAGTGATGTAAAACTATTTTCCTAGGAAAATGTGGACAGTGACTTCTATGAAATTGCCCTGGGAAGTCTGTCAGGTGAATTAGACACTGGAATGGAAAAGATGATAGGAAAAGGATTAGAGTAATTGAAACTTCAAATCAGTGAAAAATCATAGGTAACCCAATGATCCCATAAATTCAATTTTTTTGCAAGACGATAGAGGGTCTCACTTGCAATGATTTAATTTTTAATACATTACCAGAATAACTTTCTATCCAATAAATGCCTTGGATATAATATAGAGAGAATAAAATGATTATGTCAGGCAGTTCTTTGCTATATTCTTCACTTTCATGAAAAAATATTTTCATTTGAAAGTTACAAGTTTATTTGCCTCTAAGAAGAAAAAACAATGAAATTCTACTAGTAGAATTATTTCTTGGATTTTCTCAAATATTAATATGCTGCTGCTAAATCACCTCAGTTGTGTCCAACTCTGTGTGACCACATAGACTGCAACCTACCAGGCTCCTTTGTCCATGGGATTCTCCAGGCAAGAGTACTGGAGTGGGTTGCCATTGCCTTCTCCCAAATATTAATATATCATATGGTTAATAGCTATGGTGGCTCAGACGGGAAAGAATCTGCCTGCAATGCAGGAGACCTGAATTCTATCCCTGGGTCAGGAAGATTCTCCTAGAGGAGGGCATGGCAGTCCACTCAGTATTCTTGCCTGGAGAATCCCATGGACAGAGAAGCCTGGTGGGGTCTATGGGGCTGCATAGAGCTGGGCACGACTGAGTGACTAACATCAGTGCATCTGTAAGCCCTATACAACATTAACAAGCCATTATAAGGCTGTTTTTTTTTTAACTTATAAAATATTCTTTCCACTGTTGCTTTACAGCCATTAAAAACAGAGGAATATATGTAAGACATTTAGAAGTTCTCTAATTCTGTCCAAAGTAATCCTGAGAAAGAAGAATGGAACTGGAGGAATCAATCTGCCTGACTTCAGACTATACTACAAAGCCACAGTCATCAAGACAGTATGGTACTGGCACAAAGACAGAAATATAGATCAATGGAACAGAATAGAAAGCCCAGAGATAAATCCACGAACCTATGGTCACCTTATCTTTGACAAAGGAGGCAAGGATATACAATGGAAAAAAGACAACCTCTTTAACAAGTGGTGCTGGGAAAACTGGTCAACCACCTGTAAAAGAATGAAACTAGAACACTTTCTAACATCATACACAAAAATAAACTCAAAATGGATTAAAGATCTAAATGTAAGACCAGAAATTATAAAACTCCTAGAGGAGAACATAGGCAAAACACTCTCCGACATAAATCACAGCAGGATCCTCTATGACCCACATCCCAGAATTTTAGGAATAAAAGCAAAAATAAACAAATGGGACCTAATGAAACTTAAAAGCTTTTGCACAACAAAGGAAACTATAAGCAAGGTGAAAAGACAGCCCTCAGATTGGGAGAAAATAATAGCAAATGAAGCAACAGACAAAGGATTAATCTCAAAAATATACAAGCAACTCCTCCAGCTCAACTCCAGAAAAATAAATGACCCAATCAAAAAATGGGCCAAAGAACTGAACAGACATTTCTCCAAGGAAGACATACAGATGGCTAACAAACACATGAAAAGATGCTCAACATCACTCATTATCAGAGAAATGCAAATCAAAACCACAATGAGGTACCATTACACACCAGTCAGGATGGCTGCTATCCAAAAGTCTACAAGCAATAAATGCTGGAGAGGGTGTGGAGAAAAGGGAACCCTCTTACACTGTTGGTGGGAATGCAAATTAGTACAGCCACTATGGAAAACAGTGTGGAGATTTCTTAAAAAGCTGGAAATAGAACTGCCATATGACCCAGCAATCCCACTTCTGGGCATACACACCGAGGAAACCAGATCTAAAAGAGACACGTGCACCCCAATGTTCATCGCAGCACTGTTTATAATAGCCAGGACATGGAAGCAACCTAGATGCCCATCAGCAGACGAATGGATGAGGAAGCTGTGGTACATATACACCACGGAATATTACTCAGCCATTAAAAAGAATTCATTTGAATCAGTTCTAATGAGATGGATGAAACTGGAGCCCATTATACAGAGCGAAGTAAGCCAGAAAGATAAAGACCATTACAGTATACTAACACATATATATGGAATTTAGAAAGATGGTAACGATAACCCTATATGCAAAACAGAAAAAGAGACTCCGATGTATAGAACAGACTTGTGGACTCTGGGAGAAGGCGAGGGTGGGATGTTTCAAGAGAACAGCATCGAAACACGTATATTATCTAGGGTGAAACAGATCACCAGCCCAGGTTGGGTGCATGAGACAAGTGCTTGGGCCTGGTGCACTGGGAAGACCCAGAGGGATCGGGTGGAGAGGGAGGTGGGAGGGGGGACTGGGATGGGGAATACATGTAAATCCATGGCTAATTCATTTCAATGTATGACAAAACCCACTGCAATGATGTAAAGTAATTAGCCTCCAACTAATAAAAATAAAAAATAATAAAAAATAAAAAATAAAAAAAATAAAAAAAAATAAAAAGAAGTTCTCTAAAAGTGACTTAGAGAACAGCACTAATCAGATGGTAGGTTCCTGTTGTATACGTACATAACATACTTCTAGAAGGGGCTGGAAGAATGCAGACCAGCCGCTGATAGATAAAATGACCAGGGCAGGTGTGATTTATCTTACTGAGCAGCTCCACTTCACTAGAAACAATGGTCACCGTTTTAGGCCTTTAAAGAAAATTGTGTGACTTGTGTCTGAAAAACCCCAAGAAGATGATAACATTCAACCATTTACTTGCTAAGTCAAGGCCAGTGCTCTTTATAAAGCTGGCTGACCAGTGACCCTTTAATTACCTTACAAGGCCTAAGTTACGACAGAAGGCCTGTCAGCAGATTTTATTTACAATCCTTGAGGAAAAGTCCTGCTGCTATTTTCACTTCATACAGAAGATAAACCTGCAGAAGGACATGTCTGGCAGTGCTTCAGATGTCCACTGTCTGGTGATGTTGATAATGCAGTTCTTTTTCTTGATTATGGTAGTTTCTATTCTATAATGCCGGATCATTCATGTAGACCATCATGCCCCAACCGGCTGTATTCACTGACTGAACAGACATAATTTATGCAATTATCTGAACTGGTTAACCTTTTACTGTAAGCTTAGAAGCTGGCTATGGACAGATTTTGGGCAGAATTCTATTGTTGAAGGGTGTCATGCTCCATGTGGCATACCTATAAAAACTGTCTTTCATTCAGATAAAAGATTAGCTGCCCCGAATAAAGAACATTGGCAGTTACAGGTAATTCACTAATATTTATCATGTTTTAAAATGAATGTCGAAGTATCATGTGGACAACTAACATGTAGCTCTAAAGTGCATTTTTTTTTTTACTAATAGCATCAGATTCACATAATCTACAATAGTTTCCAAATAAAATTTCTGTTTGTGTAAGTCTTTATTTATCTTAAAAAAAAAAACAAACTTCCAAATAAAAATGTCCCCAGGGAGATGAAACACACCCTTTTTTTTTCTTTCTAGAAGTAGGGAAAAATCAATGTGACTTGAGATCTCTAAATTGTGTTCCTGAGCATGGGAACAGCATCCCAGAAATAACGTAGGTTCTGAAGTCCCTGAAAAGTCTATCAAAATTGCACAAAGCAACAGGTAAAGTTGCCTGCGTAAATATTTGTAAAACAAATATGCTGGTTTTTGTTTGCACTAATTCTCATGGGTGAAGCATTATCTTGCATAATACAGCTGAGTTGCATAACCAATACATGGTTTAAAATTACACACTTGGGCACAGGTCACATCTACTGCCTATTCACAACTGTAATGAAAGAGATTGAGGAGGAGATAAATAAAATAAAAATGCATGTACTCACTGTGTTAAAATTTGGAAAGAGCCCAACAGCAGAATTACTGTCCACTGGAAACGACATAAACGGTTTGATATCCAGTGAAGGCTGCATCATCAGGGTAGGTGTGCGCACAAGAGCAGGAAGGGTAGTAGTGTGGCATGTACTGCCTGCCAAGAACAAAACAAAAATGAATTTAACCTCTTGCTCACATCCATCTCCCTCCCCAACTCAAAGCACACAAACAAGACTGCTGAGCTGCAACCTGCAAGCAAAGAGTTACACTAAGTCGCTGGACATGACTTAGCAACTAAACCACCACAGAGTTATGCTGGTAGTCAGCAAATGGCACAGAAGGAGAAAATGCAGTTAAAAAGGGTCTTCTTGCTCAATGTCCAAGACATTGATACAGGATGCTTCCCTATGGTAAAGGCCAGGGCTGCTCAGACTCTGCTGAGATACACAGTACACAGACCCTGTTGGCATGTGGGGCAGAAAATCATCCTCTTGTTCAACTGTTGCCTCCAACTGGCCAAAAAATGTAGGAGAGAGGAGGGGAGGAGTCTCTTGAAGTCAGATGCTCTTTATTATTCATAATTATTGACTGGCCAGTGGGAGTGTTTTATGCAAATCAGAGATAGGCATAGGGTTTTTACCCAAGAAAGAAACCTTGGACTCATAGTCTACTTCCAAGAAAGTTATCACTTGGACAATTTGTTCTCTAAACAAACAATTAGAAGGTTGTCCTTAGTCTAGACACTGGAGAGTTAGAGAATCCAAACAGGGTGATGATGTGGCAGGGTTTTGGAGGGACACAGATGAGTTGGAACCAAATTTTTTATTTCACCTTTTATTTCTAGTGAGCCTTGTATTATTTTAGTAACTATCCCTTTAACAATTCTATTAGTTGTCTTTATATATCTGGTATAACCTGTCTGTAGGGGATTTAAAACACTCCTCTCCACCATAACACACATTTTTCTTTAGTCTGTAGTCTCTACCTGCTGCAGATCAGTAACTGCTAGTGCAGATGGCTCTCTGGGAGACAGGCTCTGATATGCCCTTTTTAAACAAAATATGACAGGCATATAAAGATAAAATTCACACACTTAAGAGTGTACAATTTAATGATTTTCAGATATTCAGAGTCCTGTGCAACCAGGACCATAATCAATATTAGATTTTCATGATCCCTAAAAGAAACTCCAAACTTATTAGCAGTCACACTCACTTTCTCCCAATACCTCCCGCTCTTGGTAGCCACTGATCTACTTTCTGTCTCTACAGATTTGTCTTTTCTGGACATTTCACATAAATGAAATCATATAATATGAGGTCTTTTGTGACTGTTTTCTTTTACTTGGCATGCTTTTAAGATGCATTCATGTTGTAGCATGTATCAGAATTTCATTCCTTTTTAATGATTAATAATATTCTATTGTAGATGTACCATTTTTTATTATTTATTCATCAGCTGATGGATATTTGGGCTGTTTCCACCTTGGGGCCATTATGAATAATGCTTATATGAACATTTGTTTATAAATTTTTGTGTGACAATGTTTTTAGTTCACTTATATACACCTAAAAGTGGAACTGGGGATTGTTGGGTCATATGATAGTCAAATGGTTTAACCTTTTGAGAACTTTCAGGCTGTCGTCCAAAATGGCTAAACCATTTTATACTACCACTAGCAGTGTATGAAGGTTCCAGTTTTCTCTGACATGCTGATAATATTCTGTGCTTAGTTGCTCAGTCGTGTCTGACTCTTTGGAACTCCATGGACTGTAGTCCACCAGGCTCCTCTGTCCATGGAGATTCTCCAGGCAAGAACACTGGGTGGGTTGCCATGCCCTCTTCCAGGGAATCTTCCCAACCCAGGGATTGAACCCACGTCTCCCACACCGCGGGCAGATTCTTTACCATCTGAGCCACCAGGGAAGACCAAGAATACTGGACTGGATAGCCTATCCCTTCTCAAAGGCATCTTCCCAACCCAGGAATTGAACTGGGGTCTCCTGCATTGCAGACAGATTCTTTATCAGCTGAGCTACCAGGGAGGTCTTATAGGACCATAAATAATTACATGCCTAAAATCCCCTGCTGACTTCAAGGAGAAATGAACAACATGGAAAAATGCTCCAACTATTAAAATTTTCATCAGTCTTTTTTCTTAGTGTCTCAGAATAGCTAAAATTTTTATTTCAGTAATTTTTTGGGGTAATGAATTTCCTTAATAAACTCTGCATCATTTTTCAAATCATTCCAGAACATTATTGGCAATAGTATTAAAAGACTGTCATACCTTATTTACATTGATCCTAAAAACAGGAAAAATGAGAAGGGTGTCAAGCATTTATCTCTAATGGCAAGTTTTTAGGTCAGTCCATGCATTAGGGAATATAGAGTAGGACTCAGCAAAAAGAGAATCAGCTAAAAGTATAGATCAAACAGAGATGTTCTTTTTTTCCCCTGATGTCAAAGTAAATACTGTATTTTTTTTTCACTTAAAAAAAAAGTTCCTTCTTTATTTGATATATATTTGACTGGCTGTGATGTGCAAGACCCTACAAAGTAAATACTTTGATCTCAACTGGGCATTCACATAACCACCTTGCATTTAATTACACATCATTCTTCTAATTAGGTAATGTTACATTCCTTGCTAACTTCAGAGCTTGCAGATCCAAGATGATATATTATAGCAATATGTCAAATGCTACAGAGGCATTTACTAAAATATTTATCTTAAAAGCTTTGCTTCAAACTCTTAGCTAAGTTGAAAGACAGATATTTCTTATATTAGATAATGACCTTTTACAATTTATAGCTATTATAGTTGTCAAAAGTCTAAAGTATAAAAGTATACAGTATATTTATAGCTGCCTGTTAAAAAAGAAAAGACCTAAAATGGAGTCATTTGTGCTAGTATCTAACCCAACTGCAGTTACAACCTAGGAATGTAAACCTACCCAAGAATGTAATCCTAACCAGTTAAGGTGGAATCTTGGTGAGCACCAATGAGGCAACTGGTCATGTGGGCCCTCTCCATCAACCAAAGGAAGATGAGGTAATCTTTCACACAGACCCCTCCTGCCCCCCATAAATAGGTTATTTAGGTTTTAAATATTCCCTTTGGTTTATGATGTTCCTGCCATGCCTTTAAAAGTCATCAACTACAAACTGTCCTTTGCCATTGGCACTGGCCAGCCTCCTCTACAAGGATTCAATCAGTGGCTGCTGCACCTGCTGACTTGCACCACCCCCCTGAAAGGAGCTCAGATGGGCCCTGTGCGCTGAGAAAATCTGCCAGAACAGGTCTTCAGACAGATATTTTCAGGACCTGATAATTTATAAGGCCAATTCTTGCATCTCCTCATATCTCGAAAAGCACTCAAATCCTTCATGGTGACGTTGATTCCTCATGACTAGCAGAAATCTTCTGCAAAAAATATTTGACTGCATGTACTCTCTCTTCACCAAAAGGACATACACACTGACTTTCCCCCATACCTCTTTGAAGTAGCTTCTCAGAGCTATCTGAATTGCTGTCTCCCGGGCTATAGTCTTCATTTTGCCCCAAATAAAACTTAACTCACAGCTCTCACATTGTGCATTTTTTTAGGTCGGCAACATCTTCCCTTTCTGTAGCCTGTTCACTGCGGGGTGCTGTCTGACGCATGAATCGTTCAATAAAGCCAAGTAGATCTTCAACATTTACTCAGTCGACTTCTGTCTTTTAACATGCCCAATGAACAAATGTATAATTATTTTGCCACTGTGGGTCTCACAAAGGGAAGCAAAATTCTTTCTCTAAGCCCACAGTGGTGGCTCTGATAACACAGTAATACATGGCCCCTGAGAGCCTGCAAGAGTCACTTTGTACTAACAAACTCAAATCAAATAGACTGCAGCATGGAACTTGACAAACAGATTGCTCCATCAACAAAGGTCAGAATGCACAATGATCCCCCTCATCCAATCAAATCTCTGTGCTAATAAAGACAGGGCTTGAGAACTACTTAGCTGCCGCCATTCATTAGCATAAAAACTTAGCAGTTGTTTACCATTTCATTAGCATTTTAATGACAATTTGCCATGTTAAACACAGATTGTTTTAAAGTACTGGTAGATCTTCTGAATAAATATTAACTATGCTTTCATCAATTCCCTCACCTCAGCCTTGCTGTTTTCACTTTTAAAACCTGCTCTTTAATATCACTTTACCAAAATTGATTGCTTCAAAGGGTGTTTCTGCAAATGGAAAATGAGTGGAATAAACTGCACATTTTGCACAAGTTAGTTTGAGCTTTGACCCCCTCTGTCATCTTATTCCAGATTTTGCTGCTGCTGCTGTTGCTGGGGAACATTTCTCCTCACCTCAGGATGCCCAAAGTCAGTGGGAGATACAAGCAGCAATTGGGCCAAAATGCACTGCACCCTGCAAGAAAATGCTTAATTTTTCTAAAACTCAAGGACTCACTGAGGAACAAAAAGATTGAAAATATAATGAGCAGGTATTTCAACACAAAGTGTGGTATAATGTTCCTATTATGATGCTATTCTCATGGGACAGAGCCAATACTGTCTTTTATACCAATGATTTGGCAATATTATGTAAAACACTTCCTATGTGTATTTCTGTCTCAAAGCTTAGGATATAATCTTATATACATCATAATAAATCAAGTCATAATAGGGATCCACCTTATTTGAAAATAAGGCTTTTTATATCACTATAAATATACATGTATTTATTTATATCAAATTCCTTTGAACACCCCAAAGATCTAACAGTCACCACTCTTACTGTGGAAATTCCACACGTCCATATATTCTCCCATAAGAATGCAATTAGCTCGCTCTCATAAATTTCATGTTGATGGTAAAAGCCAAGTTGTATTCATTGTACTGTGAAATCAATAATATGTGAAAATCAACTCACTACTGCCTCTGTAACATAATAGGTGCCTTATTATGTCAATGAATTATGTTATAATTCAGCACAATAAAACCTCAGTTGAGGACCAGGTAATACTGGAAGTGACTGCTGTAGTCTTTGACCTTTAGAAATAGACCACTGAAGGTCTATTCAGGTTTTAGCTAGAGGTTCTTCTTTATATAACAAAATACAAACAAACAAAACACCTCATTTTTAGAGGGTA